GGGGAGGTGGCGCTTCCAGCTCCGAGCTGGGCTTGGTTGGCGCCTCAGGGCCGCCCGCAGTCGAAGGGCGGGGAAGCACCGAAAGGATGACGGGGCACCAGAGCAGTCGCCTGGAGGAGGTGGTGGGGCTTCCACCCCTGAAGGGACTCGGAGCTTGGCAGGGGCTTGAGCAAAAAAAATTGGATGGAGTGGCCCCCAGAAGTCCCCTAAAAGCCCAGTGATTCTGGGCCGCAGCTGGTCAGTGCTCCCATCACCATTAGACGTGTATAGGCATCCTTGGCATTGGCTCTTGAGTATGTATAGCTAGTAGGGAGATTAACTTTTGGTCCCAAAGAGAGACAACCTCCTGTTGCAGTGGTGAGGATATAGAGGTGTGAGGAAATGCTTTGCTGGGGCACAGTGGATCACAATGAAGGTAGAGCCATGTTTCAGTGTCTCTTGACCTGTATGGTGGGTGAATGTGCATTGGGAATGTTGCTATCAGCCCTGCAAATGATTGCTTTTGGTGTGTCTCATTTGTCTGTAATTAGGCAAAGGTTAACTTAACGAAGTTTATGTAAACTGTCCTTTCTTCTCAACAGCCAAATTTTATTACAGCCCTATCCTGAAAAGTATAATGGCTAGTAATGCAGTAGATGTTAAAACAAATTTTCCCATAAGAAGTTGCGTTATGTGGGGTAATGTGTGCAGGGAACTATGCACACAATTTGAATACACAGAGGCATGATGCAGAAGATAGGAGAGTAGGAGTAGGCTCATCAGCAGGGCTGGTTGGTGATTTTTGACAGTTATCTTTAAAAAAGTAATCACCATTCTGAAAGACCTTTACCCCTTCATCAGTGTGATTGAACATCCAGTATAAATCTATTGTAAGTGTTCTTGCAGCCTCTTTGTGGAAGATCATGTTTTCCTCGTTGCCATTGTCTTCCTTGGGTGATTCAAGAAAGATCAAGTCACTTGAGACTGAAGGATGGAAGATGGGGTAATGATGATGATGAGTAGCGGAGCAGGATGTTACGACTCTGAAACAGTGCCTAGAGAAGCAGTGGGTAATAGGATGTTGCTCTAGGGACCCACTATCTCTTTTACTTGCAGGAGTAAAATTAGGGCATTTATTTTTTTTCCCAGACCCTCTCTATCAATTTGAAACTGTGTCTTTAACTCTTGTTTTGCTTTGCTGCTTTTTCCTACAGAGTGATTTTTAGATACGAATTCTGTAATTATTGCTTTGTGGGAATACTGTTACTGTAATTTTGAATTTCTTCTCACTGACCCAAATTCTCTTGTACAGCTGAATGAGCTTGTGGTGGGAGACACCAATGGGAAACTCTATGTTTACAAGAATGATGACAGCAAACCCTGGGCTGTACGATCTTGCCAAGGAATGGTCAGTTCTCTACAAAATTTTTAAACGATTGGGCCTTTTGGTGTATGTGCAGCCAGCTATCCTTGACCGCTGTCTGGGAAGATGTAGGTCAGAGGGGAATTTCAGCCAGAACTGGTTCTGATGCCTTTCATGTCCTTATGCAAGACCCTGCTTTTGCCCACAGCTAGCTCTGTGGGCTGGAAGTGATAAGCAGAGCACTGAACAAACACAGGAACTGGGCTTTTGTCCCACATTGGTCCTGCTCCTGCACGCTGTGCATTTTGCCCAGGGCTGTGAGCAGTTGTGTGGCAGATGCGTTTCTGTCCCTGTCTCTCTTTGTCCTTGAAAAGGCTGTTTTGAGTGCAAAGGATGGTTTATGAGAGAGGAGTGGGGTAGGGCAGAGGCTTATCCTAAAGTGCTGTTTTGAATTGCCTTCTCTCATGTATGGCCTTTTCTCTTGCAGCTTACGTGTGTTGGCGTGGGAGATGTATGCAACAAAGGAAAGGTGAGAGCAGCCAAACTCTTCCCAACTGTGTCCGTAGGGTATGTGGGAGGTGCTTAGGAGATTAGGGTCATGTCATATCCTACGTGTGGAGAAAGACAGATTGCAGGTGCTTTCTCTCCGTGTAACCTGTATCTTTTTGTGAGCCACATGCAGGTTTTTGTGAGCAAGGAAATCCATGCTGTCTTCAGAAAGCACTGTTAACTTCCATGTCCCCCTTGTGAGTGCCACAGGACCTTGGTGGTTTGAAGGTTGTTCCTTTTCCTCAGTGGCTTTTGCCCTACTCTGTGCTGGTCACTACTGTGAGCTATGGCCCTTCTGCCACTTGGCTGTGTGCATTTAACGTCATCTAAACAAGACCGAACCACAGAACAGTCTAGATTCCCAAGCAAATTCCACTGAGTCTAATATGACTGTTTTTGCTGGACTGCTATTTCTGCGGGTTAAGCCAGGACCACTGAGTCCAAAAGTCCCAGTTAAGGCACCCTGCCTGAAATACTGTAGCTATGTCTGCTCCGGTGGGGCGCAGAGCTGAAGTGAGCATTGAGAAAACCATACATTTTATGGGGATTGCATGCACACATCAGGTTGATATCCTAGTCTGACAAGTATGAACAAGGACCCTGCAGTACCCAAGTAGTTTGTATGCTGGCCAAAAATCTTCTCCTGTTCCCCCTGTAGCAGTCATTGATCTTGATGGATCTACCCTTGTGTCTTCCCTCACTCTGCTGTGGGATAGCTTCTGCAGTTTCTAAAAGAGGAAAAATCAAAGGATTTTTCTCTTCCCTTTTAGAATCTCGTGGTGGCAGTGAGTGCAGAAGGCTGGTTTCATCTCTTTGACCTGACTTCTCCAGCTTCAAAACACACAGATGCTTCAGGCCACCATGAGTTGGCAGCAGCAGAGGAGCAGAAGCCAGTGTTCAAGCAGCACATTCCTGCCAACACCAAGGTCATGCTTATCAATGACATTGGTGAGCTGGGAAGCTGGTGTGAGAGTGCAGGGTGGGGGAGTTTGTGGGTATGAGATGGTGGGGGAGAAAGAAGGTGTGTGGGACTCACAGAAGGAACTTACTATCTTGCTGAAACAGGCACTCTAACAAACCTCAGACACAGGAATTTCCCTGAAGTACAAGTTCTCATTACAGGATTGGGATCCTCAGGGATGCTACCTGATGGAAACCAGCACAGTGGTTTCTGAATACTGGGGGTCTTGGGGCTATGAAGGGCCTGAGAGATCCCATCTATCTCCTTGTATTCCCTGCAGATGGAGATGGGAAGTGTGAGTTGGTGGTGGGTTACACTGACAGGGTGGTACGTGCCTTCCGCTGGGAGGACTTGTCGGACAATTCAGACCATGTCTCTGGGCAGCTGCTCCTGTTGAAGAAATGGCTTCTAGAAGGTCAGGTAAGAAAACAGGATGTTCAGAGCAGAACTTGCCATAGCGTCTTCAATAGGTGGCTCTCCCAAGGGAAGAAGCACAAAATCTCAGTCCTGTGAACAAAGCAATTGTGTTGATGGCTTGTTTAAAGTTCTCTGTTTAAGTCTCCCTGTTTTTCCTCTGCCAGTACAGGTGGACAGCCTCTCTGTGAACCCAGGCCCTGATGGCTCACCGGAGTTGATGGTGTCTCAGCCAGGCTGTGGTTATGCCATTCTGCTGTGCACCTGGGACTCTGAGCAGCAGGGCACGACAGAGGGAAAAGACAACTCTGCCACATGCAGGTGAAGAGCATTACTGCATGGGGTAGATAAGGAGCTTCCACTGTAGATGCCTGTCACAAGAGGGCACCACCACACCACCTTTTGGGAGGTGGATGGGTAGTGGTGCTGTCATTTGTCCTTGCTTTAGTGACCTGCTTTCCTTGTATCCCACTCTTCTCCTTGGGTTGGGCAAGGAGAGGGGCAGTACTAGGGGCTCAGGCAGGGAAATGAGTGATCTAAATCTCTAGGGAAAG